CGCGAACGTAGGTGGTGTGAATAGCCTGTTAACTCTTCACACCGTCGGTGCGATTAGCCACTGCGTTTTACTATAGCAAGCGAAGTAAATATTATGTGAGGCATAACAGCTGGGAAGAAGAGGAAAATATATGGGGAAAGCGTTTTTAACTTGCTTGGTAACTGATTGCTAATTTGGTCCTGCTGTCCGGTATTAAAAGTCAAGTAATGTGCATCTATGACAAAAATGTAGGGCAATTACTTTTGCATCCGATTTCTTATATGTATTAATCTAACACATTTCCGCTCTGGCTTCAAGGCTGTTCTCCAGAGAATAACCCACACAATTTTAAGCTTCAGTTTCTTTTTGAATTTCATGTATACTTGATTTTCGTAGAGAACGTGGCAACAGCTTCATGGTTTGTGTTTCAAAACAAAAATGGCTGCGCCCATTGTAATGTTTATTTTCCATGCTTTATTTTGTTGTTAAAGTTCTGATAAAGTATGTGCAGCGTTGAAACAATTATTATGAAAGAAAACCATAAAAATTAATAGATTTTAATGAATGTATTTATTTTCATGTAAGAGAAGTTATTCCAGTTAGATGAAGCTAATTTTATCATTTCTGTAAAAATAGCAGAAATGTTTTCGTAGTTGCTTTATTTACAGTATAAAGAAATAACAATTATATGAATAGATTCTCATCCTCTCACTCAAAAATGACTTTTATTTTGGTGTTCCAGGATTATGTTATGTAGAATTAAATTGCCAATCTGGTACTCTATTGAAATACTGATTTAATTTGAACTCATAAAATGTTGCTGTCTGCTTTTTATATTATTTCATCAAGAGGCGATGTTTTGTTGTATGAAAAATGTATCCTTTGATATGTGAAAATTTATGTGAAAAGAATGCTGGGGGAAAGTGCAGAACCGTCCACTGCTTGGCGCGTTTTCAAGAATTGCATATACTCGGTATCCGTGTACACATCGACCTATTTTCACTTAAAAAAATCTCAGAATCGCACAAAAATGGCATTGCGTGTTCCTTGACTTCATCCATGTACACATCGACCTAGTTTCACTTAAAAAGTCAAAGAAAATTGGTAAAAATCCAATTCCTCTTACTCTTGTAAAAAGCGCCAAACAAATATAAGTGGGCGATTCTGCATTTTAGCCGAATGCTATAATAAAATATTGTAATTTGTTATGGGAAGAAAAAATTAATGAATGTTCTGGTATATGTTACTTCATTTCTTTTTTATTTGTATTCATTTGCATAATAAAATATGCTGAGTCGTAGCTAGGGTTTTCAGTGCCCAGGGACAACTGAAGATTTCGCACCCCCTACTTCCTGCCAAGGATGGAAAACAATTTAATTGTAAAATGTCGTAACATCAGTTTGGCACCCCTTGGATTCTGCGCCCGTGGACAGATGACCACCTTGCCCCCCTCTAGCTACGCCCTTGAAAATATATGACCTCTGGAATAAGGCAAAAGATAGGGAAATAGACAGTGAAAAATTCAGATTGCTATTGATTTTAATTATTGCTTCTTTTTAAAGATTTAAAGTAATGTACCATTCAAATTAACTTCTTGTCCTATGCTTCAGAATTTGTTTATATATATATATACTATTTCAAGTTTTTGAACAAATACAATAAACAGAAAACTATTAATTTTATTTCATTTAATAGAACTTTGTTAAATAAACAATGGAGGCAAGCAATAATATTTGTTTAAGATTTGTAACAAAATAGTGCTTTATTTACTGTATAATTCAGAAAACTATCTTAGCCCAATATTGATTCAGCATTCTGTATCAATAACTGATAACTTTAAATTTCTTGTTTTTCATATTTCTTTTGTTCTAAAATAAGATAATGTCATTAATTTTACCGACAGAATGATGAAATTTTCAGTAATTGAATTACTTTAATAACTTAAAAAATTAAATATTTTTATTGCACTGATTTCAAATAAAAAAGCTTGGACTCCTTAAAGAAAGTGTTCATTTTTGGATACATTTCTTTTTAAACAAAAGAACAGTATTAAAACTTTGATTATAATTTGTTAATGAAAGTGCATCGTTTGGTACTGTTCTGTTATCGGGACTGGGTTCAGAAATGTATATATGTATGCATGTAGGTATTCATATATGCATGTATATATGTACGCACAGATGAGTTTTTGTGTGTACATACATATCCATACACATATGCATATTTACACACACTTCTTAATCCAGTCATAATGACTGAAGAGTACCTAGCATTTAATCTAAACAATATCTTTCTTAAACCATACATTTTTTCAAAGTAATATGACTTTAAATTTATTGCTGTGGATTTCCAGTGGGGAGGGGTTAGTAAAGATGCCTGAGTGTGGAATGTAATGTGATTTTGTACTACAGTGATCTTGTAGTAAATGCTAATAAATAAACAAAGAGGCAAGAATCTGTTTTTAGCTCACCGTATTTTCCAGCTTATAACGTGCACCAGTGTGCTTCTATAATTTCAAGCTACATTTTTTTCACTGTATAATGCGTACCCAGTTTTTCACAAAGAAACCTAAAAGATACATGTGCAATCTTCTTATTTATCTCACTTATTCGATGATTTGTCTTAATCTTTTGAACAATGGTATACTGAATTGTCAAGCAGTAAGGGGTACAATATGTGTGTGGGGTAAATGCTTGAGGAAGTATATATTTCAGCAGAGTGGGGATTGTATTCAATGCAGATGTCCAATAGAATGCTATTGTAGTTTTTCGAGAGAAGAGGTATATAATTTAGGGTAAGAAAGCACTTACAACTGGAATGAATTCACGGAATTAGGAGTTTGATGTTTTCTCTTTCTGTAGTCTTTTGAAGTGAAAATCAAAGGCTTTAATTAATCACATTTGGGTTAATCTTCGGATTATGGTAACTTGGTGAAAATTTGGCGACCAACCCTGCTACAGCAACCAGCTAGTTTTTTTTTTGGATGCCATTTTGTTTTCACAAAGTAAAGGCATTTTTTTTTTTTTTTTTTTTTAACTCAACATTTTTTTTTAACAATCTGCTAGCCGAATTACGCTTATGCTAGAACTTTTATGGAACAAAAGTGCTTAATCATGATGAAGATTAGGTACAAAATTGGGTGAAAGTGCAAATCGCCCACTGCTTGCTGCATTTTTAAGAATTGCACATTCACAGTGAAAGTGCAGAATCGCCCACTGCTTGCCGCATTTTTAAGAATTGCACATACACGGTATCATCCATGTACACGTCGACCTATTTTCACTTAAAAAAACATCCCAGAATTGCACAAAAATGGCATTGTGCACGCGCTTGACTTCATCCATGTACACTGCTAAAGTCCTAGCTAGTAACCTTTATCGCCTTGCCAAAGTGTCACCAAACTACCTCTTACCATGTTTCAAAGATTAGCCCACATTTGCTTTAGTTGATCTAGTGTTCCTTTTAGTAGAAAATATGGCTTCCATGAAAAGAAACAAACAGAGTGTTAATTTTAAATGCAAAGCCATTCATTTTGCAGAAGAAAATGGAAATTGTGCTGCAGCAAGGGTGTTTGGTATTAGCGAAAGATGGAATGTATGGTGATGATGTTGATTTATTTATGGATGAGAGTAACAATGATTTTGAAGATGAAGCAAAATTCAGTGGTATGCCTGAAGATACGAGTATAACAGAAGACAAAAATGATGAACTTTTATCTGATAAGAAAAATTTCTAAGTTCATAAGATATGTCATTTAAATAAGTAACATTTAGGTACATATAGAAATATAATTTTTAATGCTCATTCCTTATTTTTAAAAATCTATTATTTTTATATATGGTGTATAATGCACACCCATAAATTTTACTCTTATTTTTTGTATTGAAAGTGCACGTTATACGCCGGAATATATCCTATATATTAGCAACTATAGAGGTTGTAACTAATAAATACTGTTGAATCTACATCTTAGGAGTCAAAATTATTTTATATTCTGTAGTTTCCAGGGTATTCCTAATTACGTGGTTTTGTTGCTGAGTTACCTAAACTGTATTGGGATTCTATCTTTTATTAAAAGAAGGAAATGGAAGTAATTTTCTCTTTTGCACCTGCCATGCTTTTTGTGTGCACCTGCATGTGTCCTGTCAGGGGTTTTGGCAGGTTTTTTAATCGTAAACATTTTCTACTTATAAGGAGACAACATTACACATACACTCAGAGAGAGAATAATCATTGCATCTTGGCATGTGTTTGGCTTCTCTATCGCAGGCACCAAAGAGCATGCAAGGTGCATAATGGAAAAGTACAAGAAATTAAAGCTGGATTAAGTTATTTCATAAGTGTATAAATTTAGTAACACAGCAAATCAATCAAAACGTTATATTCATAAATGTATTTTTTTGTTTTTTTTGTGTGTTTGCATGTATGTCTGTGTGTGTAGTGTCTTGTGCACGTTTTATTTAATTAACATATATAAAACTTGAGTAGGGCATGGAATTTTAAATCATTACAAACAAATATTAATACACGTTGATAAACTTGTTTCACATTTAATGTGTATACTTATCATAAAATAGAATATTGCACCTAAAGGTAAGTGTTGGATTTAAATGCTATTTAGAAAGAAGTGAGTAATCTCCAGCAATAACAAATGGTTATAAAATATGGTATGGTATAAAAAATATTTATTGCACAACTTACAGAAATGTTGTAATTCTGAGTGTATTTCTAATGTGTGCCAAATTTTGCAGTGGTGAATCATAGAGGTCCCTAGTGCAGTTCTGCATTTGCTCATCATCTACAGCTTTGTCTTGTTCTTATTGATTTTGTGGTAATAGTGAAGTCTTGACAGAGTGGCATGTAACAATCCCGGAAGACTTCTATTGGCAATAGGTCTGACAATATGGCTGATCATGGTAGAATTGCCATGATTATAAGGCAGCTCCTGATGAGGCAGTCCCTTAGATGCCAGCAGTATGAGGATAAGTGTTGGAATAGACTACTGGCCCAATCATTGAAAATAGCTTCGCTACTGGTCAAAGGACGTGATCAATGCATCATTAGGCTGTCAAAATACCTATGATAAGGACCAGTGGTGATCGGGCATCATATGAAATCATATCCCCATACTGAGACATCCATTCATTTATTTAGTTTGTTTATTATGTGATGCATGATATCAAAACATTTATCTTGGCACTGGCTATGTTGTCTCCACACCCAAAGGTACTGGTCACCTGCATCAGCACAAAAGTAAAACTTATCATTAAAGATTACTTGCTGGAATTTTGCATGTCTCTATGATGCTCTGTTGTGACCACTATTGCAGTCTGGAATGTAAATGAGCTGGGTAAAAGACCATTTTAGTGTTATAGACAATGAGACGGCTAACATGCAGTGGAGTAGTGAGCATAACTGGTACCCAGGGCAAATCATGCGATCAGCTGTTAAAGATCCCAGAGCTTTCATGTCAATGAATGTATATCTTCCTGAATCCAGTACTACCAAGAGTGCATCAGTACCATCCATGTAACCAAATGGCACACCATACAAAATGGCAATCGGTCATCATTACAGTCCCATGATGTGAACCTTCTTGAATATATCTTAACTATCCCATTTGCAGTCATATGTCAAAACTTTAATACACTATGAATGAAGGTTTTCAACATTATGACACTAGTAAAAATAAAAATTATGCATATAGTACGGCGAGCATTTCATTCAAGTATATCGCTTTCTTAAGGATGCAACCTTTTTTTTTTTTTTTTTTTTTTTTTTTTTTTTAAAAGTTAGCTATGAAGTCTAGAATAAGTACTGAAATATTGTTATTAAGATATATTCATACTTTATGTTTAAAAAAAAAAGAAAAGAAAAGAAAAAAAGTGCTTCTTGCATAAAAGCTTCTCATTTTAATATGTTTTAAAATTAAAAGTTATATTTGTGCTTTTAAATACATATAACAAATAAATTTGGAATCTCATTGTATTTACTTGTTTTTATATGTTTTTTTATTATCACAAGAATTATTTGCATGTTTTATTCATGGTCTATTTTTTTAATTGAAAATCCTTTCCTCAATTATGATAAGACAGAGATGACATACCTGAAGAGCATCTGAATTACATTGTATCTGCAGTTGCAAAAAGTAAACCGGGTGTTGGTACTGCATGCATTGTATGTATTAATTTTTAAGTCATGAAAATTAAAAAACAACTATATATTTTTTATGTTGTGCGAATAAAAATGCCCCTTTTATCAACTCATAAACGAAATACATAGGAAGAATATCTGTTTTCTCTCTCATGTTAAACAGAGTTATGCTTTTTAGGCCCTGATTTTTATTCTATGGTTTTGGAAATTAACTGTAAAGGAATGCTCTTTTGTATTCTGCAGCATTATTTGCCTATTTGAATGAATTATTAAAAATTAATAAAATATGTAAACATTTAAAATTAATGATTCAGATATATAAACATTTTATTTTAGCCTATAAATTAATTTTGATGGGTGTGTGATAAATAGAAAATAAGTAAAAAAAGTGATGATCAAATATGCAATACACCACTTTTAATTAGTTATTTTTTTCATTATTTTATTTAAGTGACACTACTAAAAATTATGTTTTAAATATGAAAATAAAAACAAATAATTTAGAATATATAAATAAAATGATTCTGTTAATTAATGACCTATTAAATTATTAATTCCAATAAATTTAAATTCCTTCCAGTTTTACAAAAAAGTGTGGAAGTGGTCTTTAAAAGGGTTGTTTTTGTAAGTTGCTCAGCAATATAAATTGCAAATGTTATGCAGCATTCAAAAAAAAAAAAAAAAAAAAAAAAAAAAAAAAATTCATTGCTTTTATTAATGGATTTTTGCCATGCTTCTGCAAAATGATATGGAAGTGTTTGCAGTGTGATACTCCAGATTTCATTAGCTGTCAATAATAATAGTTTCATAAAATAAAAAAAAATTAGTAACTTTTATGTTCGAGCATGCAATAAAATGGCAGTAAAAAGAAATGTTTAAAATAATAACCAGTTTTTCTTGCACTATATAAAAAATAAATAAATAAACTAAAAGTGGTAGACTGCATACTACATTATTATCATAATATATATATCTTCATTGTGATGAATGACATTTAACCCTTCAAGTGTTGCTGGTACAAACCTGAAATTTCAAAGTTCCAAAAATGTCATGAATAAGTGTTATTTTTTTCCTTATAATTCCAAAATGACCCTTTCTTTTTGTACCTTAAATCCTTTTCTTCTAATATACATCAGTCCTGAAATTAGATAGATTAGGTACTGGAAGAATATTTTATGTGTAATGAATCAGAAAGTCATCCTTCAATATGAAATTTTATATCCATAATCCTTGGAGGGTCAAAAAACTTTGAGAACTGTTTAAGACTTATGTTTTCAATTATCTAAATGAGCGTTTAGTTCAGAATTTATGTATAATTTTTATATAGCTGTGTAATAAAGTTCATGTAAAAATTCTTGCATTAAATATTGCTTGGACTAGATAGAATTATCAATATATAACAATAATGAATGATTTTTATTTTATTATTTTTTGTATATTTCAGAAACATAAAGAAGTTCAAGGTTACAGCATAAAAAGAGAAAAAGTTACGTATTTAGTTATCACCAGGAAAGAAATATCCAGTATTATTATCCTTCAGTTTTTAGAGAGGTAGATCCTTTAAAATTGTTACTGTTTTGTTATGATTTAAATACTCTATCTAAAAATCTTACTTATACAGCTCATATTTTTCAACAGAATATTTAAATAATTTCATGTTTGTGTTTCATTTTCTCTGTCATTTGACCTTTCTTATTTTATCCAATTTACTGTCACAAAAGCTATTAATTTTGCTATAATAAAATTTTTCATTCACACCAAAATATCATTGAGATATGATATCCCATTATTGAGGTAAAATTGTCTTTGAGAATCTGAAAGAGGAATTTCTCTAGTCGTAGATTTGTGAGAATGATGGGATTTCATGACCATATCATTCTCTTTATATACCCGATTTCCTCTTTGAGGTGTATATTAATGTATACTTTTTTGCAGTTTGACAAATATCACAGAACTCAAAATCTAAATTTTGCAATCAATTGAGAATATTTCACGTTTTAAAATATTCAGTTACTGAAATTGCTATTCGTTAGAAGTGTTTAGTGCCACGGGGTTAGCATATTAAGGTTGACTAATAATATCATGAAAATTAATTACTGTGATAGTATTTGTAGATTTTATTTTTCAGTTGTTTATATATTTATCACACTTAAATTTTTAAATATTTTTTGGAACTACTTAGTATTTGTAATATGAACAAATTCTTTCTTAAAGAAAATGCTTAGAAAAACACTATTTTGCCATTTTGTTAAAAACTGCTGTTTATTGTTTTTATGATATCAAGCACTGAATCTTATTTTATTAAATATTATTTAACCCTTTGTGGCACCATGAATGACCTATTTGCCATTATATTCTGGCATGTTATTTTACAATTTTAAAATTAGCTATGTGACTGAAGGTTCTATGAAAAAAGCCCACAGGAATAATGCTCACAGAAAAATGCTAACAGGTATAAATGCTCACAGGAAAAAAGCCCACACAGAAAAAAGTTCACATGGAAAAATGCTCACTTAGAAATATGCTCACATGGAAAAAAGCTCACACAGAAGTATGCTCACATGGAAGTAAGCCCACTGATAAATAATTCACATAGAAATATCCCTACATTAATAAATCAATAATTAATCAATTTGAACATCGTACACCTACTTGAATTTTCTAAAGAATTTTATTTATTTAAATTACCAAAACATCTATGGTATATATTTCGAAAACTTTATAACTTATGTGAAGATTCAGTTGCTACATAAGATTAACAAATGGGCCGTTTTGAATTAAAAGAAGAGGAGAAAGGAAGTAAACATGAAACAGAATTATACAGTAAAAAGTTATTATAATTTTAATTGTTAAAAAAATTTACACATTTAGAAGAATAATGAATACTGAATGAGAATTTAGAATGATTATTTTATTTAAATTACTTAAACTATTTAATTTTAAGATCGATTTCATCATAGTTTCTTACATGATTCACGATTACCAAATGTAAGTTTTTCATGCTTTCTTTTTTTTACTTCGCAGTACATCCTGTATTTACATTAGCTAATAACAAACATTGAGAGGCTAAATAATTTTTCAGTCCGTCAAATAAAAATCACATACTGGGATGGCTACAATTAAATAATGAATTTAGTGCGTTATGAAAGCCTTCGCAACAATTTGTGGTTTTAGGAGATTTTTCGAAGGCTGCTTCATAATGTTCAACTGAGAGGCATCATCAAAGTGCTTAAAAATGTTAATTTTATTTCTAAAATTTTAAATTTCTGCAGAAATTTTACAACTTTTTTGGCTCAAAACTTGAATAACTACTTTCAAACATCAATTTCTATAGATACACATCAAAAGTATGCAAAAATAGAGTAAAGAAACAAAAATTAATTATTAGCAGTTACAGGAAAAAAATGTCGTACAGGGGCAGTGGTGTAAAATATTACAGTACATGCAAAATTTTACTGCAGTTTTCATGCTTTTATTTATTGCCCCTGAAAAGGTTAATGTGGGCATTTGTCCATGTGAACATATTTCATGTGAGCTTTTTTCTATGTGGGCATATTTCCTTATAGGCTTTTTTCCTGTGAGCTTTTATACCTGTGAGCATTTTTCCTGTGGGCATTTTTCTGGTCACCGTGACTGAAATATATAGTTTGTAATATGAGAATGTTTTCTTGTGTTTCAACAAGTTTAAAATATATATTACATTATGGCAGCAGGGAGAAAGTTGTACGTATGAGACATGTGCAAATGATAAAGCTGTAATTATTTTTATTTTAAATAGCAATTTTATTAAACACTTTCATGTTAATAAGTATGATCAATGATTTTGTTTTACAGCTTTTATTCATTAGTGCGAAATTTTTGTGGTGGAGCCACAGAAGATTACATTGTGAAAAACTTAGTTTTAATTCATGAGCTCATGACAGAGTGTGTGGTAATTATTAATATATATATATTTTTGATGCCAACTTCATATATTATTCTTCATTTTATTACATGCAACAGTATTCTTCTTTTTCTGTTGAAACTGTTAGTTAGATGATATTTTCTTTTTCATTATAAAATGATTTCTAAATATATTTTAATAATATCTCTCAGATGACTCAATTTTTAAACCATTCTACAAATGAAAACTTTTGTCAATAGATCTTTCTTAAATTAAATCCAAGATTTATTGGTTTCACGCTAATTACTGTTTCTTACTGTCAAGATTCAATTTATGAAAACTTATATTACCTATGATTTTGCTTCATATAGGATCAAATGAAAAAAAAAAAAAAAAAAAAAATTCAATGTTAACTTACCTAATGTGTAAAGCAGACTGTAATAAGATGATTTTATTTTGAGAAAGTAATTTGAGAAGGAAAGGAGTTTTAATTTTTTCAGTTTTTTTTATATAAATTTATATTTTTCATTCTTTTTCTATCAAATATATATGGATTAAGTGTTTCACTAATAGTTTCTAAACTATTAGGACCTATTAGAAACTATATACCTGACTTATGGTATCATTTCATGTGTCATAATTTTTAAAACATGTTTAGAATTTTCTTACATATTTTTAGGATAATGGTTTCATTAGAAGCACAAATACTGAATTGGTGTGGCATAATATTTATAGTAATCCAGTAAGTCCTCATACACATAAAAAATGTGAAACTAGAAAACCTGGCCCAGTAAGTTTTTTTGTTTTAAATTAATTTTTGTTGTATGCTTATTTATTTGCACCCATGCTCAAAATTAAGAAAATAAATGCATTTCTTTGAATTTTTTAAAAAATGCCAGTCAGATTTTAATGAAATTTTGTTTGGATACAGAATAATGTAAGGCAGTAATTTATACCATATACTTATGAAAGTACATGCTGATGACTAGGAGCAATGTTCATAAAGAGCAAGAATATCCAAACCTGATGTTAAAAAAATTGCTTCTAAAAGGAGGCCACAGAGGAGTATGATCACCTCTAAGACACACACAGACCACTTAGCAATTAATCATACTGTTAATGAGATAGTTGATGAGTTCATGCAGTAGCCGTTTTTACTCCTGCACAAAAGCAAGCCTTAGCTCTTGGATAGTTCTGGGAGGTAGTTGGTGAGGAACTGCAAATATTCTTTTAAGTACATTCCAAACATTTTTAGTCAGATTCATATCTAGAGTTACGACTGGTCTTTTTATCCATTGAAAATTTTACATAGCTGTGGTTCACTGCTCATATTTTATGTGCTTATGGTTTCCATTTCAGGATCTGCAGATTTCCATTGCTATTTTTATATCTTACAGTCAATCAGTTTCTGTGATAGCATTTATTTGCTTATTCAATGTGTGTATTATTATGACATTAATGTGTTTATATTTTAGTTGTAAGTCCACTTAAGTGCTAGTGGGTATGTCTTTGATGATATCAAAAAGGGCACTATACATAAAATGAATCTTATTCATTTATAATGTGTAACACACTATTAATCTGTAAATTCAATTTGAATAAAGAGCTAACATATTCTAGAATCAAGGAAAATTTTAACTAAACATTTGTGACCTTTTTATGCCAAATGCAGCTATAACTGTATAAATTCAGTTTAAATAAAGAACTAATATTATGTAGGATCAGTGACAGTTTTCAGTTATGTTCTTTTTATGCTTCTTTCATTATATGCTTTAATGCCACTTTAACAGGTTTTTTTATGTATAATCAGATATTTTGTTTTTAAGATGCTATAAATAAATATTAAGATCATCTTAAAATTATCAACGTCCTCCCTTCTTTAGAAAACACTACCAAATCACGACTTATGTTTATCTGCAATGGAATGAGAATTACAAAAACCTAATGTTATTACCTATATAACCTCTTTGTATGATCAGTGTTCCCTATAAACCATGATTGTGCATAGCTAGGGGGGTCATCTATCCTCAGGCACAGCATCCAAGGAGTACCAAATTGCTATTAGGAAGTTTTAGAATGAAGTGTTTTGCATTCTTGGCAAAGAGAGGGAGCAGGAAATCATCAATTGTTCCCAGGTGCCGAAAAACCTAGCCATGGTTCTGCTTGTGCATTGCTGCATGTCAAATTTTGTGCAGTTGCATGGGTGCTTTGGGTTCCTGTTCCTACCATGATGCTGGATATTAACATACAAAACATTCAAGAAGATCTAGCTATTCCATTTAGCACCATTTCTGTGCAGTTCCGAAAAGAAAAAAAATAGGGGGAGATGATTAATCATACATTCAGCCCTACATAATTGTCTATAGGCAGTATTATTCATTACTTGAAAGTATCCATTTTACTTTAGCTTTTTTTCATAACTTAGGTCTTTCTATATCAATATGTGATATAATGAATGAGTTAAAAATGAAATGCTGATATTTTCTTCATTATTTTTTCTTTTAGCATTTGCTTTTTAAATTGACTCCAAAAAATATCACTTTTTTTCAAAAGTGCACTGGGTATCTGATTATGTGAAAAAAAAAAAGTGTGTAAAAACAGGAAACAGAACAGGAACAGTTTTCCTGAATAGAAAATGTATATCTTGTAGGTTGATTATTTAAATAAACAAAGGACTAAAATAAGAATGACACATTTTTAAAAAAATTTCAAGTTCACTTGAAATTTTTCAAGTTTTTATGAACAGTACTTACATTGAAAGCAAGACTGTTTCTATAAGAGATAAAAACAACACATTTAATTTAAAGGTGGCCAGTAAGCAACAGTATCAGCTAAGATTTGTTTAAATGGGTTTTTTATCCTTATCCCAGCATCTCTACATGATCCATGAAAAATCATGTGTGCTTGCTGGAAGTTTCAAATGGGCACATATATTATTCTGTGAAGAAATATTTGGTGCATATTATCCTATGATGGAAGAAATAGAAATCGCTTTAAATTTATGTTCACATCTAGATTTTGAAAGACTATCTCATTAGGAATTACATAGTCGAAGCTTTTGGTCTGTGTTGATAATTTATGTTATACTAAAAATATATATGATATATGTTTGTTACAGATGCGATTAAAAAAGAAGTTATTAAGTATGTTAATATTCTCTATTAATTTTTATCTGAATATATCATTTAATCAGTTGTCATACAATGCAATTACTGGTAAAAATATTTTACTCAATAATTTTTTATTGCCCAAAATTAAAATCTCAGCTTAATAGATTTATACAGCCCAATGCAATAAATTTTCAATGAACTTAGCAATAGCAAGATTAGAAAATGAATAAAAGTTTACTTTTAAACTAAAATTTCAAATAAACATGCCAGAATTATTTATTTCCTGTGCAGTTTGGGATGGAGAAGGTTTTTGCGCCAAACACTGCATCAGAACGACCTTTGGTCAGATCAAAATCTCAGCAGGTACTTTAATCTATATTTATTGTTTTGTTTAATAACTTACAAAATGTAATTTTAAATTATCTATAATTTTTCTATTAATAACCTTTAATTATAATAAATATTTAAATCAAAATGTTGCATTGTATTTATTTATAAATATTAGAAAAGCATTCTTGTTTATGTATTTTCATTTAATATTTTAAAGTTTTCTTTTTGTGCTTATGTACAAAAATATAATTTTACTGCAGGTGGTAAAAAGTGCTGAAGTTTTTGTAGATGTTATTGAGAAACTGATTGTACATTTTTCTAAACAGGTGAGTTGATCTCTTTCAATAAATACTTACACATACTGGCTACTGAATTTAAAATCTTTTACAGGAGATTGGTTTATTTGTCCATAAAAAAAAAAAAAAAAAAAAAAAAAAAAAAAAAAAAAAAAAAATGTAAGATAGAAATTATTAATTTTCTACTCAATCACATAGTAAAATCCATATTAACCCTCTGAGTGACTGATCATAATGACCTGTATCAAAACTGCATTCAGTGGCTAAATTTGTATAATTACTTATTTTAGTCTCTGATTTCTTAAGCTTCCATACCTTAAGATGTTATTTACACCATTAAAAATGTAACAAAGCAAAATATTTTAAATTATTAGCTACTATATGATCTAACTATATCACAACCAGATAAAGGCAGTCATGCCACTCAGAGGGTTAACTGCTTTAAATACACAACTTTGTACAGAATCATCAATTTTAATTTAATCAGAAGTTTAAAATAAAATAAGTTGCATACAGTCATGTCTTATCTCATCCTACACCTGCAGTATCAGTTAATGAATTTACATGGGCCAAATTTAAAATTCTTTTTTCTTCCCACAGTGTGAGAGAATAGTCTAATTTTTTTTTTCCTAGTGACATTTATTCATGTTATCGCATGCAAATACGAAAACTTCAGCAGATGAGAAAGAAAATCCTTTTTGTCAAAATGCAATTCTGTCAGAAAGAGAAATTTGTATGGGCTTATACTTATTTGGAAAAATATCCTGTGAATTAGGAATCAAAGTGCTTTTTTATCTGAGTGCAAAGAAGACTAATCAAAACAATTACTTTTATTTTTTCACCCTTTTCTCGGGACTGTATACCAATTAACTAGTCTGAACTGCAGGGAAAAGGTTCTGATCCAGTGTTGTGGTTATTTATATGACCTGCTGCCTTCATGCGAGTATAATATCAGACTATGATTTGTGGTGTACAGGTAGAGGTTGAAGCAAGATCAACACCAGTGCCTCCAAGTAGGCATATAAAGTATCGACAGGAATTACTAACTGCTTAGGTTGTAATTTTGAGCCTCTTCTCCTACCATCAACCTCCCAAGGAGATTTTGGCTTGCCATGTGTTTTGAATGACCACTTGCTGCACAGACATTATATTCTTATAAACATCCATACTTTCTCCAGGATTCAAACCACAGTCAGTGTCACTAACCAGTATATCATCTGAGCGCCCTCTATGATGTTCTCCATGATGAGATGCCTAAATGACGGGTGGGTTTGATCATTGCTGACAAATGTGTGAGAAGCAAGTATCTGGCCATTTAAAAAGAAAAAAAAAAAAAAAAAAAGAACCAAGTTTTTATTCTTTGTATCATGTCTTCTTATTATGAATTTACTTACTCTGCATTTGTTTTATTATTTTGCATCATTTTTATGACTTTATTTTATTATTAATATACATATTTTCATGAAATTTTTATATATTTACTCATTATTTACTAACTATTATTATCTTTATTTAAAGGCATGTTTATTGTTTTATATTTTATTTAATTAATTATCATTTATTACTTTACTGGTATTTTCTGATTTATCTCTCCTGTCACCAACTTGTTCATAATTAATTTTTTGTCAAGCTAATACATGAAAAGCAACAGCCATTTTCAAAATGAGAATTCCAGAAAAGAGAAATCAATCAACAAAACTAAAAAAGCTAATAAAAATCCATTATAAAAACTTATTTTTTCAAGAAATCCTTGTAGGATTTTTTGCTGTGTTTTCTGTGTATGTACATAGCAATCTATTTTCACTTAAAAAACGTCAGAGAATGGCATAAACATGGCATTGTGCACACTTTTGTTCTTCCCTGTACACAGCGATTTTTTTCACCTAGAAAAATATTAATGAATTGCACAAATTTGGCATTGTGCACAAGCTTGCTGTTGCACATGCTATTGTTCTCCGCATATATACAGTAATGTTTTGTCTCTTAAAAAATAGTACTTCTGATTATTTGATTCCCACATTTCTGAAGAAATGCAATACTTTCTTTTTCATCAATTGGCAAACTCCTCAGTCTCATTATGATTACTTAAAAGAAATAAAAAATCGTACTTAATGCAGAAACAAACACAAATCAGGAAACTGACCATCTGGTTTGCAAGATGGAATACTGAAATGCACATATGATGCATTCATACCTGAGTTACCTCATAAATATTTTGGTGATGTCATCGGTTGACACATAAATGTTTTGACATCATAGTACATTATGTCATTTGATAGTCTTATATCAAGCTCCAGCACTTCTAATTTTAGAGATTAAACTTTAATTTTATTATGAATAAAACTTTATTTTCATTTTATAATTTATCATATTTTAAAGTTTAAGCAAAGTGCTTTTTTGATAATGTCCAGAGGGTTGGGTTATATATGTACCGTTTAATTTGTTGTTTTCTAATTAAAATTTTTCTAAATCTTAATACAGTTTCTGAATTGTATATAGGCTAGCTCAGAAACAAGCTAATTTTCTTTTACATTTCTTGAAATAACAACATCCTGATGAAGATGTCCTGGTGAAATGTAAAATCCATTTATATTTATTTAAAGAAATTTTTTGAAAAAAAGAAAAAAAAAAGTTTTAATGAGATTCTTTATTAGAACTTCATTTTTGTCCAACTTAGGTAATTTTTAAAATTGCTCTTGTTTTGATTTTGATTTCCATATTTAATTTAAATTTACCACCAAATTATTTAAATTTTAAAGTTTTTTTCACTTGCATAAATTTTGTGCGATACAGTAGAGTTCCAATTATCTGACCTAAATGCGCTGTGATCTTGTTGGATGATCAAGAAAATCAGATGACACAGAAAGTAACAAGTACAACATTTAAAACTGACTAAACACATTCATTATTTCAAACAGAAGTTAAACAGAAGTTTGGATGACTGGAATTCTACTGTTGTTGTTTGCACTATTCCTTTATATTTTATACTAATTCTTTCTGGTTCTGCTTTGCCATAACCGAGTTTAATATTTGAATGTGCTATAAATCTTAATTTAATTTAAAATTATTAATGTACTTGCTGTGATATCTGCTTTTATGTGTGGGAATTTTGCTAGGTTCTAAAACTACATTTCTGTTCATTTCAACAACAAAAAAAGGGGGTAGTAAGAAAAAGAACATAACTATGTAAGAAGAATTGAGAAGAAATGGAACTAAAATATGAAATTAAATTACAAAATTGAATCTATAATAATGTAACAAAACAGAACATATTTTTCTATTTCATGCAATAGTGTATTTGTAGTTCTGAGTAAATAAATTCTAATGAGGATAAATTTTGCTTTAATCTTATTTAACTTTAATCTGATTTTGCCATTTATGAAATATTACATGAGCTGTGTGATCCAATTTATGTGAAATTTCAGAAATGGCATGCTCCTTTCTGCTAAACAAGATTTAATGTGTTGCAAATGGCATCTGGGTAAAGTAAGCTTTTAGAAGTGATTGGAGTTTCTCAGTACTGATGGCAGATTTATTTCACAGTGGAAAAAATCAGACAGAAGTTATTACTTTTTTTATTTATTTGATATTAGTATTATTATATTTATGTTTTTCATATCTAATGCTATTACTTAACCAATTGAAATAATTTCGTTATGTGTATATTTAGCCTCATTTGTATGCCTACAGTAACCTTCTTTGGTAATATGTACATATTTTTCACATCTCTGAGTTCGAAAGAATTTTGAAATTAAATTTCAGTTAATATTATTCATAAAATATAAAATTAGCATATTTATTCAGAAATATAGGAAAAAATTATTTAATTATTACAAAATTCATCAAGGCAGTATACATTACTGAACAAAACAGAACTGTTTTTCCTTTTTGTGTGCCATAATCTGTTTTGTAGTTTTAAATAGATAAAAAATCATTCTAATGCTATTCAGTTTGAAAAGACATCTTAAAAGTATTTCATTTATATTGCATATGTCTTATGGAATTTTAGAAATTGCATGCATTCCTTTCCACCACACTACAGGATTTAATATATACTGTGAATGGCATCACTAAAATAAGTTTTTGGAAATACAGCACTCTTTGTGTACATAATATCACTACTTTTAGTTGTGATATTATGTACACTACTACTAGTTAGTTGCTGCTTATTTTTATTCAGAACTTAATCTTTCCTCCTTATACATCAATAAATGAATAAGAATTCTACCACAATTTTCACTGAATTTTTTTGGAAAAATCAAATTATTTTGCAATTTATTAAAACATTATTTTCAAAGTAGTTGAAATTTTGTCAGTAAATTTATCCCTTCTGGCACCACATACATTATTGTCCATTTCTTCTCATATTTTTTTCAGTTTCTTCCAGTTTCTTCTGGTGTCCTGGAACAAACCAAACACTGCTTTGAATAGTTACAAACAACTATCATTGCATAACTTGCTCTGGTAAACAGTGTCTGATTACTTGCACCATTTTGCTTACATTTTTTGATTCAGTGATCAGTGTGTGTGAATACCTGTTAAAGTTTCAAACTTTTCTTGAGAAGCAAATTATAATGATATCATATATTTGCTATTTTTTTTTTTTTTTTAAGTTAGCTTTCTAAAAGACACACATTATTTTTTAATTTCACAAACTTTTAAATCATTTACTAGTTTCCAATACAAATATCCAATACAAATATCCAATAGTTCCAATACAAATATCCAATAGTATTCTAGAATACTACTGAATTCATGAGAAAAATCATTGTACTGCTAGATATTGAATAAAAAAAAAATCATTGTACTGCTAGATATTGAATAACAATGATTCTAACTGATTCATTAGCAAGCTTATTTTTTCCCTATATACAGACGACAAAAGCCAATTACAGAAATTTATGTAAAGAAAATGTTTTCAGAATACTTAGATTTTTTTCAAAATGTAAATGAATCTTAAGAGGAAATTCTGCAAAAATTTGTATTTATGACTTCAGAGAATTTATTTATTGATGAGGATTGTTGAATTTGTGATAAATGTTAATCAGCTTTAATAAGAATTTAACTTCATCTATAAATTACTGGATGTGTTTTGTGAATTACCGGGTTTTTAATGAAAGTTTCCCGCCAACGCAAATATCACCTGCGTAAACAGTTCACGTTGGATTGTTTAATTATATTTTGCCAAACAATTTTTGGCATTTGAAAGCAAGAAACTTGTTCTAGAACATTGTATAATGTTGTATCATATGACTGTGTAAAGGTTTGGTACCGAAAAAGTTCAAAAACAAGGACTATGACATTCAAGAAGCACAGTGCTCTGGCCAGCTTACTGAAGTTGATGAGCCCGCTTGTGAGAACTTTTGGAAGAAGATCAGTTTGCAACCACTCGAGAGCTAAGGAGATGTTAATGTCATGTCCATTAGTCGTGCTATGTATTGCATAAATCTGACGTACAAGTTCAATTGCTGAGTGCCGCATGAGCTGACTCAAGCAGATAAGGTCAAGGTCAGACATGTTCGGAGCCTGCATTAATCTGTTCAAATATCAACGCAAGGACAGAATTCGGGAACATACATATTGTCACTTGTGATGAAAACAACTTCAACAGCACACGAAAAAAGGGGTTTGATCTGCGCCTGGTAAGTCCATAGACAGTGTCGCGAAGCACAGTTTGATTAGAGGGGGGGGGACATGCTTTGTATCTGGTGGGATTGCCGTGGTATTATCGACAAAGAGTATCTAGAAAAAGGTAAAACCATTGACAGTAAAGTATACAGGGAGGGGTAGCTCGTGTTGACACTGCTGTCAAGAAAAAACTTTGAACTTAGTTCTGGCGCAAAAAGGTAATATTCCATCAAAATAATGCAAGACTAAATGTGCCTTCATTCACCTGCTGGACTCCGTATATCCCATATGGACTTGATTGGGATCTTTTGCCATACCCACCATATAGCCCCGACATCACTCCTTCGGACTTCTACCTTTTTCAGACCTACAGGTACATTTTGCTGGTATTATCTTCATTCTCCATTCAAGGACATTCCAAAAGAGGTTTATCTGTTTTTGGACTCTCAGCCACCAAGTTTCTGGGCCGAATGGCAGAAAAATCATAGATTTGGGTGGTGATTACTACCCAAACTTAAGTTATAGCTTTCATGTTTTTTTTTTTTTTTTTCCTTTTTTCCTTTTAAAGTTTTATTAAGTATGTTTTTGGGCGGAAAACTTTCGTTACAACTGTATATTTCAATTCGTTATGCATTTACAGATTTAATATATCTTATAGATGATAATTGTGAAAACATTGGTAGAATTTGAAGAAATTTAATAGACTAAAAGCTTGAAATTTTACATAGATATATATCTTTAATATTAGTTTTTTAATTTTAAACTCTATGAATTAAAATGACGTTGGAAAACATTATTTTTATTTGCAATAAAGCATTGTATTTATTTATATAACAGTTCCTCAAGATACAGTTTTGAGATTTCTAAAATCTTTAACCATTACTTTTACTACGTGTAGATATAAATATTTGTATTTATGTGACTGTATTAGATCCTTATTTTATGATAATTTTGTTTTTCAGCATGCAGTTAAAATATTTCATTTAAATGGTGTTATTCAGTTGAAGAGTTTCATTGCTTGCAACCATCATGTGATTATTAGTTTAGAAGACAGCTCTAAAGCTGAAGGACTGCATAAAAGTAAGAATTTACAACCTGTTTGTGTAACTTTTTTTTTTTTAGTGTAAAAATAAAAATATCTGTACCAGAATGAACTTTCTTGTTGAAATCATCTGCTGAAACACACTCTTATCTCATAGTATGCTAGTATTCTGTCTTTATAACGTTTGCTGTTTTGTTCTGGAATGAAATGAAATGTTTATACCTCATTTACTACCACATTGTGGTTCAACATTTAATCTCTTTTATCTTCGTCATGGGGGGGGGAAATTGTTTTGCAACACACTTGTTTTTATAATTTTTTCTGAGCATAGTATTTCATGTAATATTTGATTGTAATGTTTAACTGCTTTTTAGTAACACACTAGAATCATTGAAATCTTAAATAAATTGTAGGGGCAAAGAAGTAGTTGTAAAATATGTATGTTCATAAATTTTCTATTGATTGTATATATATCTCATGATTATTTGCAAAAATAAATAAATTATTTTAAAAACCCAAACACTCATTGTTAGCATTTCTTTGAATATTTAAATTTATTTCCTAATTAATTTTCACTTGTCTAATTATTATTGTAAACTTTGCTGACACAATCAATTTCCCTTTATTTCTTATTCCTAATTTTCAAGAAACCAATAATAATATGATAACGAATTTCCCTTTATTTCTTACTCATAATTTTTAACAAACATTGCAAATAGTATAGTGTTTTTACAAAAGAAATATATAGATTTAATTTTAATGAGACTGCATGTAATCATGTTGCATATGGAATGTATTAATGCATTGTGGTATGATGGATTATATTTATGAATTAGGTAATGCAAAAAGCATAGTAATGGCTTTGATGGGAAAATATTTAAACCAGGCTTTCCCAATGGGAGCATGATTTTTAAGGTCTGTGATGATCAAAGGAATGACTGGGTTTGATAGCTGAATATGCAATGGCAATTGATTGGCATAATTGAGATCCCACTGATTATAAACAAAATGTGTTAATAAAATTGATATAAACCTTTATAATACAAAAAAGCTATCTTATTCACAACACATAAATATACTGACTTTCGGAATTTAAAAGTCATCTGAGAGAAATATACCAAAATTAAAGTTATTACCTGATTAGTATTATTGACTTGATTGGCATAATTGAAATCCCACTGATTATAAACAAAATGTGTTAATAAAATTGATATAAACCTTTATAATACAAAAAAGCTATCTTATTCACAACACATAAATATACTGACTTTTGGAATTCAAAAGTCATCTGAGAGAAATATACCAAAATTAAAGTTATTACCTGATTAGTATTATTGACTTTTCTTACTCAGTGGAAGTAAGTCAAATATATAACTTACTACAGAAAACAAGAAGCAGGTTGAATATTTCTGAACAAGGTGATTTAAAAATTAAGTTAAAGAATTTTATGCAAAATATTAAAGGAATTGCATAATTACCCAAACACACATATCACATTAATTTAAATTTTTGGGCAATTAGAATCTTTGATTTTGTGTCTGAAAATATGTTGATATTTATAGAATTAAAAACAATAAAACATTAGCCTATTATATCACTTCTTCAAAATGTTTGTTCATATTTTTAGTCTAATTGTTATCTTTAAATTATTTATGTGCAATTATTTACATTATGATTATGTTGTATGCTATTATTATAGAAAAGAGTGTAAAGGGGTCAATGAAGAAAAATTTTCTTTTAAAAGGGGTGATGCAAGAAAAGGGTTCTGAATCCCAGGTCTAAACAAAGGGAATGCACTGTACACAAACAGTTACCATATTTATCTTGTAGATAAGCTTCTTGAAAAGAAATCAGTGTTATGTGTAATACTACATTCTGAGAGAAGATATCTTTCCAAAGGAGTTGTGAATGCAAAGCTAAAACGAAGTGAAACAGTCATGTACAGAAAGCATCACACAGATGTGATGAAATGGAAAGATAAAGGAGATTCCTTATGCTTACAACTGAGTATTTTGGTAAAATGAAGACCTCAGATAAAAGAATTGAGAAGGGAATCCATCACCAAGTCAGATTATGTTCTAAATTGCAACCAACAATAGAACAATGGTAAACAACAATGGTATCAATAGAATTGATCAGCTGCTTTCCTATTACTCACCATTGCAGAAATCATTAAAATGGTGCAGAAAAGTTATACTTCAATGTTTGGATTTTAATACCAATGTTTTGTATGTCAAATATGCTGGAAAGCAACCTCAGATCTGGTTTCAGAAAGAAAAAGTATGTTTGCTTTTAAACTATAGTGAATTTAAAGATACACAAATTCCTAGAAATTATCTCATGTGCCATAAACCTTCAAACATGTCTTGAATGGAAGGCCACCCACAGAAACAATACCTTCAACATGAACTAAAACTATGCCAACATAGAAGTGTGTCATGTGTAGTTCTGACCAAATTCGACAAGAAACATGATATCTCTGCAAAATATGCACATTTAAACCTGCATTATGTGTAGTGCTTTGCTTTAAAAAAATGTTGTCGTAGTTTAGATAAATTCTAATTTTATGCAAAATTTATGATTTTTGTTTTTACCTTCTTGTATGAAGTAAAGGAAGTATTATATTCCCAAAACATTTCGGGTATCATATTTCAATGAACATATTTCAATGAAAATATCCTTTTTGACTACTCTCGAATACATTTGAGTGATGCTTTTGCATGGCATCTGTATGTACAGACAGAATAAAGGACTCTTTTTTTTCCAAAATTGATTGTAAAATGGATGCAGAAGGAATTTTTTTCATGACATCTGTAATATATACTTATATATGTATCTCACATGACTCAAAAATGATTAACGAAAGCATGTTGAAAATCTGTATATGGGACTGCTATAACATTTAATTGAGCAACCTCTTTTTGGTTGCAATCGGCTGCAACAGTTGTGTGTATGGGTATATACACATATATATATATATACACCTTTTAAGCACTGGCTAATGGGGTGGGTATATATATAAAAGTTCTTACCTGGTTTTTATATTCACAATTGTTGGTTATAGTTACAGAGACATTTTAAATTATGAAAATGTCTATGTTTTGGCAATGTCAAATTTAAAACAAAAAAACAAAAACAAAACAAAACAAAAAATTGATTTCTGACAAATAGTGAAATCTAACTTATAATGCAATCTCGCGGTTTTTATAATTGTATATGAGAAAGTTTTGTACTCATTATGAAAAATTTAAATCATTAGGAGTTTGACTTCCATGGGACAAAAATTGACCAGAGTACCGGGTGGCCATAATTAAACTGACAGTACTCACAGTGTTCTGTAGCGCGATCTATTTGCGAGAATGACGCCACATTTTGTAGGAAGATTAAACGATATGGGACGAAGCATTCCGCGAAAAACAAATTAGTTCCAAAAGTCACCACTAGGGGAATATTTGGCGCTGTGTAATAGTAAATAGAGTGTTAAGAAATGCAAATTAATATGGAATAAAATTACCTTTTATTATGCACATTTTCTGATTTAGTTCAAGTGCAATATGCCAACACTAAAAAAGCGTAAAATCTATATAAACACCGATAAAGTCTCGTGATCTGCAATATCATGTACGCTGAGCAGAAGAAGAATTTCTTTATTCAAATTTCACGTTACATCCATTTGCACAGTGCCAGCAGCCTGGGTTTTAAAAGGCAATGTGTTACATTTCGAATCAATCGGATTAAAAGTTTATGTGCAATGTCTCCTTCTTTAGTCGAGCGTGCGTTACTGGTTACCTCAACCAGTGCAATGCGTCAGCCGCTCTTTGTGCTTTTAGAATGCACAAAAAAAAAAAAAAAAAAAAAAGCGTAGAGGCTGTGTGTCAGTTAATGAGCTAAAAGCAGTGGTTGCGACGTTTGAAAAAACAGGTTCAGTCAGGCAGAGGACGAAAACCTGTACCACAGGATACGATCGAAGCAGTTGCCACGGCAATTGTCGACAGAGGACCAAACAATATTGCTGCCACCTCTAACACTCGTGGAGTAGCTCGGAATATGGATATGCCTTACAGTAGGGTATGGAAAATCTTACGAAAGATTATCAACTTCTATCCGTACAAGATCAGCCATGTACAGGAATTACTGTACCCCGACCATGATAAGCGATTGACTTTTGCTCTCACCTTTCTTGCCAGAATGGAGGTGGATGATGCTTGGCCGTAGAAAATCTTATGGGGAGACGAGGCCCACTTTTACCTGGATGGAACTGTGAATACCCAGAACTGCCGAATTTGGGATGACAAATCTCCACATGCAATCACAGCAATTCCCTTACATTTACCAAAGGTAACTGTTTGGTGTGGGTTCACATCGGAATTTATCGTACGTCCATTTTTCTATGAGAACATTACCCCAACAGGACCGGAAACCTGTTCTGTTACCGGAGAGAAATATCGCCACATGTTGAACAGCTTTGTCATTCCGGCACTTCAGCAAAGACAATGCCTGGGGGAAGTCATTTTCATGCAAGATGGAGCCCCTCCACACATTGCTGTATGGGTGCAACAGATGCTACAACAGAAAGAGTCATTAGCTGTTACTTTCCAACTGCATGGATATCTCGGTCGCCTGATCTTACCCCATGCGACTTCTGGCTATGGGGTTACCTTAAGTCCGAGGTCTACCAAGGAGTGGTCCAGGACCTGGCTACGTTGAAGGATTAACATATCACGGACTGTACGGGAGATTCCTGCAGACATGTTACTTTCTGCTGTTGTGCATACTGTGAACAGAATGCAATATGTGGTCCACAACAACAGCAGACACATTGAACCTCATTTGAATGCAAAATAAAAGATAATTTCCGTATTGATTTGCATTTGTTAACACTTCATTTTCTATTACACAGCGCCAAATATTCCCCTAGAGGTGACTTTTGGAACTAATTTGTTTTTTCGCGGAATCCTTCGTCCCTCGTCGTGTTTAATCTTCCTACAAAATGTGGCATCATTCTCACAAATAGATCGTGCTACAGAACATTGTGAGCACTGTCAGTTTAAAAATTTGCAATTTTTGTGTCATTTTCAACTTGCCTTGAGGAATCAATTAAGTAAGTTAGAATAATTCGCAGAAATAAGTTTAAATGAAGTTTAACACAAAGTATATATAATTTAATAGGTCATACAAGGAAGTCATTTAGTATCCACATATTTTTTTTATTTGAGTTTTTTATTATTTTTTTTGTTTATGTCTGTCAATAGGTTTTAAATTATCGTAGAGATTATTATTAATTACTATATGTTATTATTTTTTATAATATTATAAGTAAAACAAACAAGCTTTAAAGGAATTAAACGTAGTGCTATAGGAGAATTCTTAGCATATGGTACACCATTGCTGCAGTCAATGCGTTAAAAATGATGATTTGTTTCCAAGGAATTTGCACTTTTTTCCCAACACATTTATTTAAAAAATGTATTCAGAGCTTCTATATATTAAAATACCCATTATCATAATGTTTTAACCGCTTGGCTGATTATCCCGAGTTATCTCGGGTTCGTATACATTGCAGTTAATTATTATCCTGAGAAAACTCGGGCGAAGCAGAATTTGTTAGTACGATTTCTTTTATCACGGTTTTGCATGGTCTGGAGGAAATGAAAGGAAATATTCAACTTTGATTGGCAGTTTGCCAAATTTTGTTGGCTGCATGGCTCTTTTGGAGGGACTGATCACGTGTTTCGCTATTGTATAGTATACGTTGGCTTGTGGATTAGTAATGTATAAAGAAGGATGCATGCGTTGAAAAAAAATAAAATAATGACGATGATGCAAGATAGCGAAAACGATGATTTTTCAGATAGTGATTATGAAAACGTGGGGAAAAAATAAAAAATAAAAAAATATCAAATCCAATGAGACAGTGTACTCTGTGCTCCCGTGAAAGAGATTCCAGCGGTAAGCCAGTAAGAAAAGAGACCAGATACCAGTGTAGAATGTCAGGTATCACTCTGTGTTGTCCCTTGTTTCAAAAACTATCATACAAAGATTTATATTTAACTTTTTTTCGTTTGTCCGAGATAACTCGGGATAGTAAACTAGCTTTTACACCTTCAAAAAATTAAAAATTCAACTTAAAACCTACACATTTTGATTTGTTTCGTTTTGTTGTATTTAATAATAAAATAAAAAAAATGTGATGATTTTTTGCAATTTTTTTCAAAAGAAATTGTAAGGGAAGTGGTTAAGAAACATTCATCATAGTTATATTAAAATCATATTTTTATTCTTGTAATACGTTAAACAATTAATTTGCAATACATACACTCTGTACCAAAAGTTTATAGATTCAGGTAAATTACATGTTTAAGAAAAACAGAAATGTATAAAATTACCCAATTAAAATATGTTTATTTAAAATACATATGCCTTGCATTCAAGTAAATATTTAACAGAAATATCAATTTGTCTTAGAAAAAATAAAAATAGGAAAAACGTGTGCCCCAAAAGTTTATAGAGAAATGCAATTTTATGCAAATTGGTTTGCAACAATCATGATGGAGAACATGAGCCTTTTATATAATAATGCCCTCATTCAAAACTCCAGATTAAAAATGAAAAAAAAAAAAGATCGTTTGAACTGCATTTAAGTATTACTAAAGCTAGATAACTTTCTGATACTGAAGTTAGGTCTGTTAAAAAATTTTGGAACTTCTAAATAAATGTGTAAATATGATTTTTCATGTAATATTTTATAAGATGCCACATCAGCTAAAACCTCATTCAGGAAGATCCAAATGATGGATAGTGTCAGTGATAGGCAGATACAAAGAATAATTTTGACACAGAAAAAGTCCGTTTGCCAAGTTAAAAGGGCTTGTGGATTGTAAATGTCCAAAAGCACTGTATAAAGGCAAATCAAGGAATCTGGTTATATGATTTATATAAAAATGGCTCGATCATTACCACTTTCAAAGCTTCCACAAACAAATGAGATTGCAATGGTCCCATAACCACATAGCATATGGTGACAAATGGATTTCTGCAATTTGCAGTACTGAAAAATGCAATCTAGATGGTCCTGACAGGTATTCATATTACTGGCATGAATTACAAAAAGAGCCAAGGAGCTGTTTCAGTATGAACAGGGGAGGTTATGGATCTGTCATGGTATGGGCAACTTTCAGTTTCAATGGGCAATTAGGTTTCACCTTTCTACACAGGCAGCAAGAGTCGTCTAAATACATAGAAACATTAAGACTATTTTATATCATTTGCAGAAAATATTCGAGAACAGAATTGGGTGTAACAGCTGGACAATGTTTTCATGTACTACAAAAAATTATTAGACGTGGAAAATATCACTGTGAGCCCCTGTATTAACCTGATAAAAAGTGTGGGGGGTATTGTATCTCGGAGAGTTTATGAGAATGGAAGACAGTTTTCTTCCATGAATGCCTTAAAATCAGCCACCGAGAGTGCATGGTACAATGTGGAATCAGAGTTATTACAAAACTTAGTTCTCTCAAAGGAGAAATGCATATTCAACGTCATACGAAACAATGGAGTGACTTTGAGGTATTAACTAATTTAAAATTAATCATAAGTTGTTAAAATGTTAATATTCTCTTAAATGTTTGAGATGCATATTCTTCAGTGTTTTTATTTTTTCTGAAGTACAAATTGCTATTTTAGTTGAATATTTAGTGGAATGCAAGTCACATGTGATGTAAATAAACAGTTTGTTTATTTACATGTGTTGTAAATAGACTTAATGTTTGTGTTCCTTTCCATTTTTCTAAAAAATGCAGTAGTGTAATAGAGTCTATGAACTTTTGGGACAGAGTGTAATGGAAATAAAACAATAAATTTCCATATAGTGACAAGATAGAGAAGGAGGAAAATAATTTGCGGTACTTATGTATTATCGCAACCAGGTTGGCACGATTTGTAAGTTTAAGTAAAGAAGTATGAATAGAAAGAAAATGTACATTTATTAATTGCAGATAATTTTTAATACAGTTTTTTATATTATTTTGTTTTAAAATATAAAATAGCAATTAACCCTTCTGGTTTCGAATTTGAATAAGTAGCAGAATTATTTTTTCGGCGGAAATCTTTTGGCTATAGCTTTTAGCACTGATTGAAAACAGTCTTCGCCATTAACAGCTTGAGCTTGGCGCCATATAAATTTGATAAGGTATGAGTCAAGATGATGACGGGCTGTTCCTCTCTGTTTTTTGTTGCGCCATTTGGCTGAGCCCCACATGCACTCTACATGTGTGTGAACGCCCGTGTTGGGATCCACAAAGTTATATTTGTGATTAACAGTTCCATGCATAAATCCAGCATTTTCGAACTCACTTGTATTGTATCCTTTCCAGCAATCCGAATAAATGATGCTTCCTTCCTTGATATTTTCGCAAATTTTTTCCATGAGGGTAACGGCCTTCTGTTAGGTACAGTAACCAAAAAAGTCTCTTTCTTTTCTTGGCAAATTTCGCCGAAAACCCATTGCTGTGGTAGTACACGCCGAGTGTTATTTTTTCTTTTTACAAATAAACTTTTGTCTAAACACGTAGGGTTGCCATAAGTAGGGTCGCCAAATTTGGCGATTTATGCGAATTTTGGCCTGGTTGCGTTAATACGTAAGTACCTAATCTGCATTATAAAATTCAGTCAAAGAAAGCATCAAATTAAATGCCTTTTTGTAACCAGTGATATTAACTAATAATTTAATTCTCATAATTATCATTCATTGTATTTCAGTCAGTTTAATTGTAAGTTTTAAATTTTTTATTAGTTCTGCCTGTGTTTATAATCACTGCATTTTGTATCACTTTCCTTTTCTGTTTAGGTGCATTATTTGATATATATCAATTTGATAACTGTGTAGACTCAAAGAGTTTTGAAGAGCATAGGTCATTTGTGATTCATCCATTCCAGGGTGAGGTCTGTATTTTGAAATTATTGTTATTGCAATACTTTTATTATCAGTTTTAGTTAAAACTTTAAAAAATGCCTTTATTAATATCCAAAATTTAGGGAAAAATTGGATTTGGTTCAGTTTTGTATTGAAGGTGCTGTGACCAATATTAAGAATATGTTATTAACCATGCACTTTAGCAATGTGGATGTATGCTGAGCTGATTTTGTCATAATATACTTGTTGATTTTACTATCTAAAAATTTAAGTATTACATTTTTATGCACAATTTGCATTTCAAATAGGTAAAAAAAATGCCCTACTTTAAGTACAAAAATATTTTTAACAAATTAATAACATATCAAAAAATATTTCTTTTATAATGACCCTTAACTTACAAAAGTCAGGTTTTTTTAAATATTTTTTAACCCTTAGAAAACTGAAGGCTTCATTAACATGTATCCTTAATATACCACAGAGATTCACAATTTCCTGCCGTTCCCTCACAAAAAGGTGTGAAGATTTCAAATGTCAAGTGAAACATAAATCCTTTTATGACAAGCTGTCTGCAATAAAATGATGCAATACGTTTGGGGAAACTGCACCTGCTACTGCATACGTTAGCGGGAGGGAAGAGAATAACATTGCAAATCGGCTGTTTCGGTGGTTGTGGTGGTTTGTATGAAAGACATCTCGGGCGTTTTGACCATCAAAGGGTTGAAGTTTATCAGATTAGTTTTGTGTATTTTTTGTATTCTTGATTCTTATTTTTTATTACTAAAATTGGTACTCTTTTTGATAGGATTAGTAGCAAATTTAGCATATGACAACAAATCCCATACAAATACAAATGTTTTTAAATGATAAATTAATAAGATAGGGTACTTATTTAGTTTTATGAATATTAGAAAGGATTTGTTAGATAAAACTTAATGTATTGAAATAAAAATGACACTGACTGGAAATTTAGATCTTTTGGTAGTTTTTTTATTTGGTAAGTGGTGTTTGTGACCTTTTCTAATTATTACTGTTGCATATTTAATCCACAGCATTATTAACAGCATAGATTAGCGTAGCTTAATTTGTTAGTAACTAAATTCATCAATGCTTGTCTTAAATGTAACTTTATTCAGTTAATTGAAGGCATATACTTGATGTCAATAATTAATTTAACTTCATAGTAAACAAATGTTAGCATTAAATTAAGTTTGTGAAAATTTATTTGATTCTTTTATTATTATTATTATTGTTATTCAGTTAAAGAAATGCCAAATTATGGCTATATTTGGTTTGAGAATGTGTTCATGTGAATGAATAGGTAGTTACTCATTGACAATGCATGTGAATTCTTATGAGTAGAATATTTTAGTGAATAATTCTTAGTTGGATTTTTACTCTGGTTAGTCATACAAAACAGTCAACTATAAGGATTTGTTACAAGAATTCAGACAGAAAATTTAATTTTTCTATGAATTTAATAAATAAGAATAAATTTAATTTATTAATATTTATACTAAACTAAAATCACAAAAATATGAAAATAATATCACAGTTTACTAAAATTTATAAAATCACTTTATAATTCTCGATGCATTCAACAGCTCAATAGATGAAAAAGAAGCTCAACTTTTGTTCAGCATCTGTCAAAATTCATTTGTAGATAATCAAAGTTCAGTCATAGAGTGCTATTAGTATTCAGCCATGAGTGGATATTAATTTGAAATAATGCTGGAATTTGATGATAGCCAAAAATGAATTTAAAATAAATTTGTTCAACATTTGCAAATATGAAGTCACATCACAAAGGAGTGAGGTTCATACCTCATAAACTGTGTTTGCTTTCAGTGATATGTCAAATTTAATCTGTAGAATACTATTAGTACTTATATAACCTTTGTTATAATGGTTCCAATTATAAATCTGAACTTTTCCTTAGTCCTACTTTTACGCTGCAGAAGAAGACTGTCGACCCTATGGCTAAATTTGCCTCACAGCATTATTGTCCTCCTTGCAGAAGCGATCTAATGCTGCTGCGCCTCCATCGCAGGAAAGCCACCAGAACAGACTGCTACAAACATATGAAGAATAAGAAGTTCACAAGGCTATTTACAGCAAAGCCTCACAGGCTACACAGTCTGTGAGTCCTCACAGGCTACACAGTCTTGTCCTAATCACCGACTAAGTGATACCACTGATGGTCCTGTGTTCAGACAGAGATTAAATTTCAGACTTAACAAGCACAGTTACAATATTAGAATCTAAGGTACATGAGGCTGCATTAATTTATTGTATATCATGTTCTTCGCACTTAAACCATAAAATTCAGTTGAAGAGCAATATTGCAAAATAATTTTAAAATGAGCATATCTTTGCAATTTTGGATACACAATCTCTCATGCTGGAGATAAAAATGTTTTTTCTGTACAATGTTGCCATTACTCATTTTGGAATTCTTGAGTTTGTTAATCAAAAATTCATTAAAGTTTTCCAAAGTATGAAATCGATAATAAAACAAATTTCAAATTTGAGCTTCCGGATGCCCATAGACGCAGGAGAATTACTCTATTCAAAATTTGATGGCTCTATGTACCGTTGTTTTATCACAGTGCGAGAAACATACATACATTTATGTAGATTCTTCATTATTTAATTTCTTTAAATATAATGCAGGGCGATAATAATATTTGGTGGCAACAATTTGAAAAGTGAAACAAGGCTTGTAGTGAATCAACACAAAATGCCAAAACGAAATTAATAGTCCTTCTGGGCAAATTGTCCCCTTTGACTAATAAAAAAATGATATAATATGCTAGCTACGTAGTGCCTTACTGTGTTAACTTTACATACCTTATTATCTTTCTACTTCCAGTCTACATATGAGTGTCTAGTAGTTGAAGGTATTTTTTATTTGTAATGAGCACTAATACTAAATATTTTGCCAATGAAAATGACTTAATAAGTTTCCATTTTAACCTTCCGTAGTAATTTTTTGGGTATTTATTTTGATCTTATTATCACCGAAAATTCATTTTGATAAAACTAAGTTGATAATAATTTGTATTAATATTTTATACTTTTTTCTGATTGATAATATTTATTGATTTTCCACAAGCACAAATAAAGATTAATATTGAGTCTTATATTAAGTATAATATTAATATAGATGAGCATAAAACATCCAGGTTTAATGGAAAATTTATGCTATCATATTTGGATTTTGCAGAATTTTTAATATTATCATATAATATAAATAACATCTGCTCTTTCCTGATATGAAGAATTGTATTATGCACAGTTACATTTGTAATGTATTTGCATATATTTATAGAAAGGTTTCTTTGTTGAGTGACTTTCAGCTGTAGCAGAGTGGCTAAAGCTGTAAAATATTGGTAATACCATTCTTAGTTTGATTTTAAGCATTAACATGTAACAGTTAATATAACATGTGTAATATTAGCATAAACTGTCATTTACAAAGATTTCTCACTTGAATGAGGTAGCCCTTGAGTACAATTACTTAGTGACAAACAGCTGAGGTCATTGAACTATGGTAACTCATCTCACTTTTTATTTCTGAAAAATAAGCTGACTTCATTGCCTTTTTTCAATGGTTATTTCCCTGTATAAGGTGAATACAAATAATGTAAAAGCATCTATTTTAAGGCTAGTAGTTTTTCCATATTTTAGCACAATTAATTAACTACTCAAGTGCATTGCTGTAAGCAGTTAATGAACCTGTCATTAATTTTTGGGCGGATTATCTGAGAAATAAAGTAGGAGATATGATTCGTAAAGATATCTAGCATGCTAAAGAGATTATGTTAAGAATGAAAAATAAGCAATATCGCTATTTAATGGTATTCTTTGGTACTGTTTGTTTAATTGGTCTGACCCACAGTTGAAGCAAATTTATTACAAGTTCTTAATTAACATTTCTTTTTCCTTATTTAATATTTCTTCCTGTAAGATATTTTTTCCCCTTTTCTTCTGAATTAATTTGTCTTTCTTCCCATTTCATATGTTTTTAATAGAACTATATTTAATTTCAGGTTAAAGCAATGATTTACTCAATAGAAAGTCCAATCCTTTTGCCTTTAAGACTTACTGCACATATGCAAGAATCAGATCAAAACAGGTGAGATATCTATTTAGATAAAAGTATATATTTCCAAATGCTAATTAAAAGTCTGCAGCTATAATTTATCAGTGAGCTTGTTAGTTTAACTTAACATATGTTAGAGCAATGAATGGTAAATATCTGTCAATTCCATAGTCAGGACTACAACTTTGCAACTTAGTCATGTTCCCATTTCATTGCTAGATCACTCATTCTGTCATGTGCTTGGAACTTGCCAGAAATCGTCCAAATCAGTAAGCACTAATAATTATGCCTCTTTCAGCCTCATTCAACTTTCATCATATATCCTTTTTGATGAATATAAAAAGTATATATTTTTATTTAATTATTATAGTCTCTTTATAGGCTGATGAATTTTGATAGTGTTATATGGCAATTTATTTTCAATGGATGTCAAGCCATTAACAGAAATATAATATATATGTATATATAATTTAGTTATTTAATTTGAATTTTTCTAAAACAGTCCTGAAAAGTAGTGATTTTTTTTTTTTAAATTTGCTTAAATAGCTATTATATACTTACATACACACACACACATATATATATCTCATAGGCTATAGCCTGAAGAATTACTTTTTAATTATATATATATAATAGGGGGACCAGAAAGTAACGTCGCTTTCTTACATTAAATTCAAATGAATAAATTTGTAACAAGTTTTTATTTTTAATCAGTAATATAATCACCCTCGTTCTCAGCAACCTTTTGTCCATCTAGTATGCAGATTTCAATCCCAGACCGATAAAAATCAATTGGTTTTGGTTTTTTTGTAAAATATCTCGAGATGGCATTTTGGACATCATCCAAATTTTCAAATTTTTTGTCACTAAGAAAATGTTGTAGGGATCGGAATAAATGGAAATCCGAGGGTGTGATATCGGGCGAATATGGTGGGTGAGGCAGTTCCTCCTACCCCAATTCATTATATTTTTCCAGTGATCGTCTTGCACAGTGCCTTCTTGCATTGTCGTATTGCAGAATGACGCCTTTTCCGTTGACAATCACCGGATATTTTTCGATCAAAGATTGGTTCACTAGATCCAATTGTTCACAATAAAGGTCTACATTAACAGTTTTTCCAGGTTTCAGCAATTCAAAATGAACAATTCCGCGAATACTCCACCAAACACCCAAAAGCGCCTTTTCGGGATGTAAACCCTTTGTAACCCCTATTAAAACTGCCTTTTGAGTTTTGGATTATCATATAGGATTTATTTTTCTGCCTCCACTAATCAAACAATCAAAAAACGGTTCTGTATGGGTGCCGTTGACGTTGCATGTTCTGTTATGGTGCCAATACGTGGCACGTGATGGATAGGTTGGGCTTTGTTCTTTTCGGACAGATTATGGGGGACTTAAACACCTGCTTTGCTTATTTTTCCATTCTGCTTTAAATGTTCTTGGATGGTCGACCAAGGTTGGTTAAGAGTGTTTGACAGTTCCTCGATTGTTTGACATGGATTTGCTTCCACTTCTGCCCTTAGCATGTTATTGTCGACATGCGCAGAAACAACATTACTTTACAGTCCCCCTATTATATATGTATATATATAAAGTTGACTGATAAATGCAGTAAGACATTACCTTCTATCTATCAATCTATCTTATGTTTGAAGGATTCTGCTCAGCTTAATTCTCAAGATATAATTTAGCAGTAAAAGATTACTGCATGATGATATCATGTACAATTTCAAAGATGTAGAACAGTGGTAAAAAAGTTTTTGAATGAAAATGTTCCAATAATAATGAAAATATCTATCCAAAGCACTTATTTATGCCTTGCTTGTGACTGTTACTGCCATGAGAAGAAAGTGCTGGATATATTTGGATTTCTGTATTTCATAATGTACGGTTTATTCATGCTTGATACAGGATTTGCAACTTTGTACCATTTATTTTTTTAATTAAAAAGTTTGTTGCATTGTCAGTGAATTCAAGGGCTTGTGATGCTCGTACATAATGTAGATTTGTTCTGTAAAAGGATTTAATGAATATTTGGTAAAAAAAAAAAAAAAAAAAAAAAAAAAAAATCTTTACTTAATTTTTTTAAACCTGTGTGCTTTATGAGAATATTGCATACATGAAAATAAATTATGAGTGATGGGAAATTAAAAAAAAACTTATCATTTTAAGTTAATTGTTTTATGTATTTGATTAAAATTAAAAATTCCAATAAATTTAATTAAACAGGAAATTTTAATTATTATGTATGTAAAATATACATGTAAACATTTTTAGTCATTTCTTATTGATACATAACATTAGTGATTTGTAAATTTTATTTTCATCCTGCTTTATTAGGGACTGTGATCTAACTTTGCACTTGTCAAGCAATTTGCCTTCTAATACAGAAGCTTTGAATTTATCTCTGCATATTCCTGTATCCTCATGTACTAGAAAGTAAGATTTAGTTATGTATTTTTCCTAAGATATAAAATTTGTAAAAAGAAATGCATGATTTAAAATTTTTCAAATCCTAATTTTTTTTCAAAATTAAAGATTACTTTTTAATATTAAATCAAAACTTGAATTTGATGAACTGTTTAGTAAAATATTAAGTGAAGCATTTTAATTATGTAATTTGAAATTTAATTATAGTTATAATATTAGATTATTAAGTATAATTAACTGAATAATCCTTAATTTTTTAGCATAATAAAAAAATTAAATTATATTCTGTGAAATACATACCATTTGTCTGACATAAAATTTGTATTCATATGAAGTAATATTTAATATATTAAATATTATATATATTAATATCATTAATAATTTTATGTATTAATATATAATTATTAATGATTAAATATTTATATATATTAATATCTTAATGTATACTATGTGGTTTGTTTCTTAAAGAAAGTGATTATCTTGTTGAAAATATAAATATATTTAATTTCAGTATTATGCAACAGTTTAGTATGTATGAAAATGATGCTGAATTTCTGAGTAAAGAACGAAAAATTTTGTGGAAACTAAAGAAACTTCCTGGGCAAGGAGAAGTTATAGCAAAATTCAAGGTGAAGAATTTATATGCTTTTGCTACTAATATTTTCCTTTCTTTTCTTTCTTTCCCCCTTTTTGAGCATATTAACAGTTCTAGTTTCTCAAGGGCTTAAACAGAAATGTCAGTTCTTATGATCGTGATGTATGAACTCCCAAGTCGAGATTTTTGTAAAGTGATTTTCAAGCTTGTTTACAATTCGCTTATACTGATTTAATTTTTCTTATGGTGGTTATAAAGTTAGATACATGTGTTTTAGAACATATTTAATATTTTGTGAACTATAATAAAATTTTTGAATGTCTCAGATATGACAAGTTTGTGGGTTTTTTTTAGAATTTTAGCTGAAATAGTTTTTTTTTTTTTTTTTTTTTTTTTTTAAATCAAGCAGTGTGATGTTCATATAATGGGTATATGCTTAATAGCATATGCATTTATTGTTTATTTTCGGAGCTAAATTTAATAACATGAAAAAGAAAGGATTTCCTGACATCCTAAAAAGCTCAGGTCAATATAAATCTGAAGCATAATTGTTGTGAAAATATGTTATTAAACTAACTGAATTCTCTGGCATGCAAATTAAAAAACAGGAATTGCAAATTGTTTCATTTTCAGTCTGAAGACAAGCCTGTATAATTAATTGATCTGAGGAAGATCAGAAGGGAGAATTGTGAAGAAAAAGTGTGTTTGGTAGATTTTAATTTCTATAAGCATGATTTTTTTTTTTTTAAGTGGGAAAATGGGGATATATGATTGTATTTCAAGAGAACTAGTGGGGAGGGGAAGCCAAAAAAAAAAAAAAAAAAAAAAGAAGAAGAACAGACGATTAAAAAAAAAAAAAAAAAAACACAAAAAGGTATTTTTCCTTAAAAATAAAAATTAAGCTGCTTGAATAAGAGTTTAAGAATATCCGAATGCATTGAGGCCTAAAAATTATTTCAAGAGATCATCACATTTTCTCCAACATGGGCAAGAAGGTATAGAAAGCCCTATCAAGCATACACAGAAATGCAGTTTCATATAATATTAGGTGAAGATGTTACAGCTTTGATTATAATGGTAACTTTTTTAGGCACCAATATAGTCATACTAGATTGAGTAATTTTTTTACTACTATATAAAGTTCTAGAAAAAAATGAAATATACTGTAAAGGGAAAAAAATGCTACAGAGCAAATGAAAGTAACTCTGATTGTCGCTGAAGTAGAATTATTCTATTACATTTTGTGTTCAAAAGTTGAATAATTTTACTTAGGCAAGAAGAGTTGGAAAAAAAAAGTATTATCATGGCTCAACACGGTGGATGCTCATTAATTCAAATTAATCCAAAGGCACCCAAAAACTTGCATTGGAATTAATATTAAAATATCTCATTAATTCAAACTAAATTTTTATCACTTTGGTAAATTTGAACTAAAAATTTGACATTAAAAATTTTCTTTTTTTCTCATTTAATGGAGAAAATATAAGCTGTATTTATGACAATAATAAATGAAAATTTATTTTTATTAATATCTGAGCCTGTTATAATTAAGAAGAGAAAGCTACCAAAAGTGAGAATTTGTTGAATGTAATACTTGAAAATTTGTTTTCTTATTTTATTTGTAACTAAAATATGATTTAAAATAATCTTAATTGCATTAAAATAAAACTTAAGCATCTAAAAATTAAGAATGTGTTATCTCTTGCCCTGTTGTGTGTCCTTTCCCACGCATTTAATTTTTTTTCGTGTATGTTAACCCTTTCATTAACCTAGACAAACAGTATGATTTCAAATTAAAAACTCTGAAACAACTTATTTAAAAGCAAAGGTATTTTAGTTGCTCTCTACTCGTCCATTTCTAAGCATTTGAAGAATAATGGTTAGAATTAAAGCATCATATTCCGTTTACCAGTTGTGATTTAGTTTTGACACCACTGTTTCAAAAGAATACTAAAAGATGTAAAATATGGATATAGATGCTTGTACAAAATTCAACATTTGTAAATGTACTTATTCTGGCAGCATTTCAAGTTTCTCTTGATACTTCCCCCACCTCTGTTATTACCATGAAACTCCAGTCTGCATATTTAAAAATTCCTATTTAGAAACTATGGTGTAAGCTTATCTTTGGATTTAGCAAACATTAGATTATAACAAACATTTTTCATTATTACTTTCAGAAATAGACAATGGTTCAAGTAAAATCAGCATTTCCTAAATAAATGAAAATTTATTTTTATTAATACCTGAGCCTGTTATTATAAATTTTTTGTTTACTTTCACAATCACTGTGTCATCTTACAGTATTTGAAGTTTCATATTTGCATTCATTTCTTTCATTGAAAGAGGATCACTTAGCACTTTGCAACATATTTGTTAGTATTACGTTGAATTTGAAATTGTCTAAAAATTTTCATTGAAAACTGAAAGCTGATTATTTATGTATGTTAAATAGCATTTATAGTAAGCGTAAGAATTAATATGTAATTTTTATTATTATCACGATGGAGGCAGATGTGCAAGTAAGAAAACATAAGAAAAATTGCATAATAATTTCTGTAAAACAACTAATTTTTAAATATGATCTTTTTTTAAGATATTAATATTATCCATCCCACGTTCAGTCCTCAAAGGAACAAATATATTTAATCAATATATTGATTGCTAGTCATCTGAGTTCTTGCTAAGTGATAAATTCAGAATTTGATAATTTTTTATTCAGAATTAATTTGATTAATTTTAATATTTTCAACAGATTATAATTTAACTCAAAAACTAAATTGATGTTTTTTCCCCATATTACAAGCATCTTATCTAATTCAGTGCATTGATTTGTACATACTGACTCTACATATCACTGTTTATAAGATTTGAATCCTGGACAAAGTACAGAGATCTGTGACTCTAGTATCTTTGCTGGATGGAGACCTTACAATCTTTCAGTCTCAAAGTCCTGTCTAGAATTTTTTGAAAGAAAAATAAGTAGATTTCATCTTTTACGATGCTGTTGGCCAAAACTAAGATGGAGATTTGATCGATAGCCCTTGTGTACTTTTTGTTTGGGTAATAATCTGATCTAATTCATACTGCTAAAATATTTTGTGCATTCTTTTGAAAATGGCTCTGTAAATTCAAAAGTTATTCATTTAAAATTTGAAATATTATATTAAGTATTTACTTTATCAGATCCTGTAGTAATTTTCCACCTACTTTTCCAGCTCAAATTTTAATGCATGAGCATATGCTATATTAAATAATGTAAAAGTTGATTGATGTTGTTCAGTTTACTTCAAAAACTTGCAAAATAGTTATTTTTTAGAAAAAAATTTTTTAATTTTGATAAAAATATTTTTTAGCTTATAGATGCTATACATTTTCCTGCAAATCGCTTAGAAATGGGGCCAGTGTCTCTGGAGTTTGAAGCATCTAATATTTCTTGTTCTGGTATGAAAATAAGAAATATAAAAGCAGAAGATCCATCAGGCAAAGTCATACCTATCCAAAAGTGGGTTAGGTATGCTACTTTAGCTCAGTCTTATGTGTTTGAAATTTGAAATAAACCTGTATAATAATTTGTATTTTAATTATTTATATATGATTTATGTAACACAAAATTAATATAGTCTTTTTTTTTTTAAATCATTTCTTGTTGAATCTTTTTTCCTAAAACATAGCATTCTACATTTTATTCCTTCGTTATTAATATCGAAAATTTAAGTTTTAATTTTAATTTCTTTAAGACCATATTTTATGTAAGATTTTTTCCCAAATTCATTGCTTCCCTTGTTTAAAGGGGGAAAAAACTTCTTTTTTGTTCTTTCCTTATTGCGAGTTATGACTCATTTCCCCGGTTCTCGGACATTCTCTTCTGGATTCTTTTCGGCAAGTAGGCGTGGCAGAAAAAAAAAGGGAGAGACTTTGTTCGACCAGATGTGCGATCACGTGACTCTGGAGTCAAAGTTCTTATCTCTCCTGGCGTGGCGCCAATAAGTAGAGAAGGGGGATTTTTTTCGCCGTATTAGCTATTTGTCTTGATTGATCGCTTCTCAACTTTTTTTTTCTCCGCTGTGTAAAATTTTCGTTTCATTTATTGATGCACGTGTAAATTTTTCGTTTCATTTATTGAAATATTTTTTTATTTATGTACGCAAGAGAATTTCACTATGAAATTTCTCGATATAAATAGTGATATTATACAATTAGAAGAAGGTGTCCATTTAGGTGGAATTGGATTGAACGGAGAGATGGTAATGGGGATACCATCGGCACATGGTGCAAGAAAATAAATTTTGCTGGACAAGCATATTGTGTTTTTTGTAACTCACTGCTCAAGTATGGTAAGGAAGGATTCAAGGCTTTCACAAATCATTCTAAAACTGTGACGCACATAAAATATTCAAAGTGCATTAGACATTCAATGACTTTAAGTAATTATGCTAATTAAAAAAATTCATTCTAAAACTGTGACGCACATAAAATATTCAAAGTGCATTAGACATTCAATGACTTTAAGTAATTATGCTAATTAAAAAAATACTGATGACTTACTGGAGACTGATGCTCGGCCATTGGATATAGTGACAAGAAAAGCATGCCAAGAGGTATTAATAACTTCGTTTATTTTATCGCCGAGAATTCTCTTTCTTTCTTTCAATGTAGCTCCCAATTTAATTGAACTCTGCAAACAGTTGAGCCGCGATCAGACGGCACTAAACTCGTTGGAAATGTCCAGGACTACTGCATGTTATAAGATGAAATATGGGCTCGCAAAAACTATTAAGGAAAATATCATTAAAACTTTAAAGGAGACTCCATTTTCTCTAAATTTGGATGAAAGTACTAGCAATGCTCAAGAAAGTATACTGGCAATATTGGTGCAGTTTTATGACAACAATCAAAATGAAGTTGTAGTTCATCATTTTGCATCTCTAAAGATGGAATCTTGCAATTCAGAAGCTGTTTTTAAAAGCAGTTGTTAATACTATTGAAGATAATAATATTCCATGGGCAAACTTAATTAGTGTATTAATGGACTCATGTAACACCATGCGTGGAAAAAAAAAGGGTGTTGAAACCAGACTACGATCAAACAAAGCACCCCACTTATTAGATATTGATGGTGACACATGTCACACAGCTAATAACTAACTGTGCAAAAAAATTTGCTTCATGTTTTGATAGATACTTAGAAGATTTGTTTGATGACATCTATTTTGATATGAAAAGCTGCAGTAAAAGAGAAAATTTTTTCAAAATCTGTGAATCCCTTGCCATTAAAAAACTTAAGCCCTTGAAGAGACCAGACCATAGGTGGGTGTACATTTTATGTGTTTTAGAAAGAATCAAAGATCTGTGGGATGCTCTTATTGCATTTTATTTTCACTACTTGGATAAAACTGATAAAGGGGATTATTTTTCTTATGTTGAAACTGTATACAATAAAAGAAATATTTCTGCAGCTCAGAAAAAAAAAATTGTTGAAGGGGTGTATTCTTGCTTGCATTCCCAACAACTCACAAAGGATGCTTTAGCTCGGAAAAAAAGAATACTAAATGGGTTATTTGTTATGCAAAACAAAACTTTATTGCATATGGCATTATATTCAGCAGTATTACCAGAGTTCAACACATATATTAAATTATTTGAAACAAAAAAAAAAAAAAAAAAAAAAAAAAAAAAACAATGCTTCATTTACATATACATTCCAGTATTTATAAATTGATGGCAAAATTTTTTCTCTTTTTTTATGAAGCCAGAAAAATATAGAGTGCACATCTTATAATGATTTATTAAAGGTTGATGTCACAAATCCAGAATTCCATCTACCTAGCAAAGTAATATTTACTGGTGCAGAAGCTTCCACTCTCCTGAAGAAATTATCAAAAAATCATCCAATAGCAAAAGAATTCCAAATTTCTCTGATGAAAGCTTATACTAATACAGCACAGCATATGAAACAGAAATTACCCCTTAAAAATTCATATCTAATTAGTTTTACAGCATTAGATCCAGAGCTAAGAGGTAAAACCAGTACAATATTAGCTTTTGAAAAATTATCATCTTTTATGTCCCATATTTTTAGTGATAATGAAAAGTCAAAAGTAGAAGCTGAAATAAGGTTATACCAGAGTGATATTGATATCACCAAAGAAATGCTCTACACATCTGATGAAAGTGGAAATCAAGTCAAGTGTACAATTGATAAATATTGGTCTAAAGTTTTTAATTTAAAAGATGATTTCACAAATGATTATAAGTATCCTACATTGGCTAAATTGGTCAAAGCCTGCCTTAGCTGCTTCCATGGCCCATTAGTGGAAAGTGCATTCAACTTAATGGATACACTTGTCACTGACTATAGAACCTCTCTTAAGATTGATTCCCTAGATGCAGTGCAGACTATTAAATATGATTTAATGGCTTCTAAAGAAACCTCATGTGAAAAATATGGCTCAAAAAATCCAATGACTGATCCAATTCACAAAGATCTCTTACTGAATATGAACAGAAGTTGGAAAACATATCAAGAGGACTTAAAAACATGTATTTCAGATGAGTCACCTATAAAAGTCTCTGAAAAACCTTCTACATTAGCAGAAAAGCAAACTGCTTCTACCTCTGCATGTGCAGTTCTCGAGGAAATTTCTTCAACTGTAAATGAGGAAAATAAAAGTCAGCCTTCCTGCAATTATGAAGTTCACCACAAAAGAAAGACAAGCCCACAAACATCAGAAAATAAAAAAAGGCAGCAGAAATTAGATAATTTTTTTTTTTTTTTTTAAGAATTAATTCAGGTAATTTAAAATATTTACATAAAATGTAGTAGTTTATATGTTTGAAAATTTATGGTTATTAATTTTGCAAATAAGTAATTCATTGAACTTTTATAATTAGGTCATTCAATACTTCATAATTGTAGTTTTTCATTTCTCTCCCCCCCCTTCTCGAAACTCCAAAATGTCGGTAAGTAAGTCCGTAAAAGTTTAAGGGGATTTTTGGGGGTCCCACAAACACCCGAGTTAAGGAAAATAGCTTTAGGAATAGTTTGTAAACTAGCGACTTTTTCATATAAAAATTTACCTAAAAATATCTTCATTTTGAGACTGCAAATTGTGAAGTCCATAAAAGAGCTGAAATAACTGCAATATAGGTAGGAAACAACATACTACAAAATTAAACAAAATAACACGTTAAAATAATTTAGACTTGATATACTTCCATATTATTTTCATAAAACTGATTATAACATCAATAAACGTTATAGCATCAGTCTTCTTTGACAAATAACACAAATGGAAGTTCTATCTGGTAAACTGGATGAGAATCCATATCTGTTGAGACTATTAGAAACTCTCTGAAGAAGTAGAAGTTAGACTTTTTATTAGAAATGGAAAGAGGTCTAGATCATACACAACCAGTGACATTCCAATTAGCTGAAATGAACAGGCTGGATGATCTGTTTAACGACAGGGAAGAAAACACTGTCAAGACTATCCTCAACAGAAACCACTTTAGACAAATGCTTTCTAAAAACAAATGTGAAGGAAGATCAAAGTCTTCTGACTTCAGCAGAAAACCATGAAGACTCAGATTAAATTGAAGTAAAACTGCAGGACTGTTTATATACACAGTATAAGTAAATACTTTATAATGCATAACAATTAATTAATTCCTAACATTTTTAACATTGGGGATGTTTTTAACAACCTATGAAATTCTTTCTGTAATTTGGACTAGATTTGAAAGGGGATTAAAATTTTCATAACTACCGATGGAAAACAGCATTCCATATAATGGCAGATTAAGTTCAATACGCAAGCAACACTGTATTTTGTACAAATATATAAGATTTATAAATATGTATATTTATAAATATACATATATCTAAATATGTATATTTATATAAGATTTATAAATATGTATATTTATAAATCTTATACAAATCTTTCTGAAAACTTCAGTTTAATTTTTATATTTGTTTTATACTTTAAATACAACGTGTTCGGAGGGGAAGTTGTTGTTGTTGTTTTGCTCATATTACATGGACAATGGTTGCCAGAGCCTATTCCAAAGAGAGGCTGGACTTCTATTTTCCACCCCCAATTTTGAGGAAGAGCACCTCAGAAGGGATCCGGGGCTTCCACCCACCAATCCACATGAGAGGACTTTAAGCTTGCTGCATATTTAGATTGCCGCCATGCTGCACTGACGCTATACATTTACAAATATCTTACCTGGGATTCGAACCCGTGCCCTTCGATACCGTAGTAGGCTTCCCTAACCACCATACCGTTTGGGCGACTCGTAAAGGAAGTGATGAAAAAGAATGATATATGTGTCCAGACCCAATGTGTTTCTTACATTGTGGTGTATAGTTGGAAAGAAGAATTCAAAAGTTTTGTGTACTAGAACGACTAGGACTAGTGTGGAGCAGATTTGACCTCTTAAAATTTTTATGTCTAAATAAAGATGGGCCAGGTCCCACTAGTTATGCTTTCAGATATTTGGACTGATATTTATTATTGCCTAGATGTAGCCCAAGGTATAAACGATATGTACCTAGAAGCGTATTAAAACTTTTTGAGTTCTTCTTTTCAGGTATATAAACTACCAGTGCAATAAAGACATCGTTTTCTTAT